AATGAGACTTTTTTAGTAAAGATACTTGCTCCAATGAGTATCTACTTTCACGTTCAGTTTTCATCTGTATCATTTCCCATCGGCACCAGCCCTTTATGTCACTCATGTGTATTTAAAAATAGAAAAACCAGGATAAACCACAGATGAACTGCTCTGATTGTGTGCGTTTGAACATGAAGAGTTAGCACACTGCTCCAAAGGCTATTTTTAGATTCACTTTAGAAAACATGACTTTTTTTTTATTCTGTCCTGTTGTCATGTCATAACACAGATAGTTAAGTTGGTCATTGAATCTTGTTGTGTAAGAATATTTATTATGTAGACTTTGTCTTCATTTGAAAATGTGTCTCTGTATTGCAGAGTTTCAGATGGCATCACAGACTTGTATATGTAACATTCTATAGGCCAGTAATATTTAATACAGATTCTAAATTAATATTGTTTAAAGTACAGGTTTTTGTTGATCAGATCAGAGTCAACATTTGCCCTTTGGGTATTTCATGGCAAAGTACAATGTAATCAATAGGGAAAACTGACTCTTGCCTCCATCTGCGAGCATGACATCACATTCTGGAATCTGAAAACCACCAATATTGTCCATCCTTCAACCAGTGCCAGGTTCGATCTCAGCTGTGTATACTGTCCTCGGGCAAGGCACTTCACTTTAGGGCTGCAAGATTAATCATAATCAAATTGAAACTGCAGTTTCTCAAGTAGTCTTTATTATTGTGCATAAAAACTAGATGTTTTTTACTCACAATAAGACCCTGGAGTTTAGATCTGTACAAACATGTTCTGAAATGGGATGCTTATATTAGTCAGTTCAGTTTATTATTTTTGTTTTACATAAATGTTTCTGGATGTGTTTAAAACCTATTAAACATACATTTCAAATCTAATCACAATGACAATGCTTGTCAGAAAAAATTAATAATAATAAATGTTATTCCTAAATCATTCAGCCCTACTTCACTTGCATTCTCTCTCCTCAGGTTTATGGGGAGGCAGACACAACCTGTCTGCAATTAAATGAATGAAACCTTGCTTTTACAATCACTGGGTGGGTATTTCTTCTTCTGATTCATGTATTTTTTGTACTTTTTTTTGCCTCAAATAAATAGCCAATTTATATCACCAGAATGTCCCGGGATCAGCCTTCACACAGTAACTGACATAACATAATTACAAAAAAAATAAAAAATTTGGCCACATTTTAAACTTGTCCAGGAGCATTAACATTTGAGAGAAGACTGAAATCTGAAGAATCCTATGTGTTTCAGCGCATGTTTGCAGAGGTCTAAACTACAGGGTTAGCAGATTCTGTACAGTACAAGAAGACAAGGAAATTTAAATGATTTATTAGTTGCAGCCATTTGTTGTGTCATTTCAGATACACTGTTGTGTGTTCACTAAGCCGGGTCCCTCTCAGCACAAACACATTGCACTGGTGTTGATAGCGCTGGGCCCATTACAGTAAATGCAGAGTGTTGAGAGCAGAGTAAATAATGCATCAGCTGATTATAGCACATGGGCAGAGACACAGAGAAAGAAAAGGGCCGCTGCTCCATCAGTCTCACCTGACACACACACACACACACACACAAGAGGGAAATGGAAGCACGAACAGCAGATGACTAAAAACATTCCTGGTAGACTAAAGACATGCCTATCAATTAGTTTTTCCCAAACTAACTTTCTGGGGGTGGCACATCAGTGGCATCATACCACAGAAATAGAAAGCAAATGTAATATGAAGGCCAATTTCAGCAGTTCATAAAAACACGTTCAGTCATTGCAAGTTTGTGTTGCTGTAAGATGTTGCTAAAGTAGAGTTTCAGTGCATTGGGTTTGGCTCATGTTAAATCTGTTAGATCAGCTGGGGTGGTACGGTTCAGTTTAGACAGTGGAGACACTTTTAGGCTATACCGATCTGCTCCAAATGAACCAATGGAAACAGAGCTTAAGAGTCAGGTTTGTGAAGATGCAAGCAAGCGAAAAAAAAAAAGGTTTTATTTTATACCATTTTTGGAGGGCTTAAAGGTGCACTGCACAACTTGTGGTGGAGGGTCTACCACCTGCTTATGTCAATGGAGATGTTATTGCTTTGCCCGAAACGTTTTATGGTAAGACATTAAACATTTCCATCTAGCATTCATTCATTACAAGTGTTTCTATTGCTCAAAAACACAATAATTCCTTCTGTCAATTGAGAGGACTCTTCATAGATCTGCCCTGTAATGTAGCGCAGAGTTCTGCACGGGTCCATTTTTGGAGACCCGCACCCGCTGCACCGCCCCGCACCACACCCGCCCATTAACCCATGATTCTATCAAAGTTAAACACACACCCGCCAGGACCCGTTAACGTCCACCTGTTACCCGCCCGTGCCCATGATAAAACACACAAATTAAAAGCATTCTAAATGAAGCATCCTTCAGAATACGAAGTGAATTGACTTTAAGAATTACAGTCACAAAATACGAATTCACAGGCACGACTCGACTTTTATCACTTTACAGGCATTATTTACTGAGCAGAAGAAACATTGATCAAGATGCCAGACTTTTGCGCCGTACATGCCATGGACTAAACCGGGACTAAACCGTGACTGAAGTAGGACTCAAACATGACTTAAACCAGGACTAAAACAGGACTTAAACCAGGACTTAAACCAGGACTAAAACCAGGACTAAACCAGGACTAAAGCAGGACTCACTGTCGGGACGGGCTCTAAGCTGCACCCTCGTAGACTGCTGGGTGACCGCAGGCGAAACCACTGGTGCAGAGCTCCGTGCTGCACCGAGGTAAGCGCACGCAAGCGCACTTTGTGAACACTCTGCTCCGTGGTCTCAGGGTTCTCTCTCTTAAGTCCAAGATTAATCCTGGTTTAGACCTGGTTTAGAGTTGGTATAGTCCTGGTTTAGTCAAGATTTAGTCCTCATTTAGTCCTGACCCACCAGGTGTGTAATCATGACCCGCCCGCATACCCACCCGTAAAATTCCAGAACATTAAAACCTACCCATTTCTATTTGTTGGTACCCAGTGCAGAACTCTGATGTAGCTTAGTGCTGTAACCTGCTTGTCTCCTTTGTATAGATAGGTTTAATTTATACTATTCAGCATTCTAGCCAAAGCAGTAACATTTCCATGGTGACATCAGGTGGCGGACTTTTCACTAAAAATGTTATGCAGTGCATTTTGAAGTTAGAAGGCGAATGTGCCCACAACTGGTTTAAATACCTAAAAATACAAAATATAAGGTGTTTCTAACTAATAAAAATAAGTATAATTGTATTGTCTATGTAGAGTACTCCCTCATGTTTTTGCCTCTGCATCTCAAACCAGCACCCTTCTGCTCAACTCCTGTTTGTTCATAGTGTTATTTCCACATTTCCATCAGAATCAGCAGCTCCTGTGCTGCTCCGTCCAGCCACACAATGATCAAATGATTCGTCAAAACGTTTAAAATATTCATGCTGTCGACCTGAGATTTCTACCATTATCGAGTCTCCCTTCCAACAGAAGCTGAAAGTATTCTACAAGCCCTGACTCTATTGATTAGTAATTAGCCATAATGAAAAATGAAAAACTCATTGTACTTGTAAATGCCATAGAGCTAAATCTTTAATAGAGAAAAACACAGCAAAGACTATGCCAGATAGAATCAGTACTTAACTTGGAGTAAACCAGGACTAATATCTGCCCATCCCAGTTGTAAACCTGGCCTAAACTTGAGCCTGTAAACACAGTGTAATCAGAGTCCTGCTCAGAGAGAGTGATTGTGGCGGATCAGAGTCTCATGTTGTTGTTGTTTTCACTCATGTTGCTTCAGAGAATTGGATACAGTACATATAATCGACCAGTGCTATTAGAGTTTTATATAGTGCATTCATCCATTCTAGTGTTGTCATGACACTAAAATTTCAAACTCCATTGCAGTACCAAGGAGTTGGTTCTCAGTACAGGCTCTTTCTTTAGACAATAGAATGTGATTTTCAACATTAAATGGTAGTAGGGCTGGGCTATATGGAGCAAAAAATATATCCCAATATATTTTGTTATATTTCCATATATGTTATATATCTCTATCTATGAAGGAAAAATAACCTCCCTAAAACTACTACAAAAACAAATATGCCAAATTCCACAAGATTTTTTAATACACATACTGATTTTTTATTTTCATTCAAAAATAAAACGACTCAACTCAAGCTCATCTTTGCATTAACTTCATTAACGATATGATACGATAATGATAACCATGAGATCCTTTAGCAGAGGAAACTCTGAAGTACCTCAATTTTAATAGATCCATGTTCCTCACCAGTGGTAAGGAGCTCTGAAGTATCCCACAATCCACTGCAGATCAAACCCAACGTTCCAGACACTATTGTACAAGTTCTACACTGCAGCAGATTATTCATTAAAATCTTCTGCATAAATAAATGTTACATTACTAAACTTTACAACATATAAAACATAACTACTTTAGAGCCCTTTAACATAGTCCTACATGTGTCCTCACCTTTAACACAGTCCTACATGTGTCCTGAGGTTTAACACAGTCCTACATGTGTCCTCACCTTTAACATAGTCCTACATGTGTCTACATGTGTCTTCACCTTTAACATAGTCCTACATGTGTCTTCAGTCCTACATGTTCTTCAAACATAGTCCTACATGTGTCTTCAGGTTTAACACAGTCCTACATGTGTCCTCACCCTTAACATAGTCCTACATGTGTCTTCAGGTTTAACACAGTCCTACATGTGTCCTCACGTTTCACATGTGTCCAAACAAAGCAGTGTGTTGTCTTACCAGGAGAGCTGAGGAAACACCTGAAAAATGTGTAAAAGCAGGTATTATTAAAGTGCTGGTGTAGAAACAAATAAAAACAGGACCCAGCCTTTTAAAGAGTAGTTACAAGTCAAAGTAAAATAATCTAAAGTACTGTAGTGAAGTTAATAGTCATCATAACCCTTGTTTCCTGTGCCTTCAGTGATGGAGTCTACGGTTGTGAGCACGTCCACGGCGGCAGGGGAGGAGTTTGACCGAAACGTGCCGCGGATCTGTGGCGTCTGTGGAGACAAGGCCACCGGCTTCCACTTCAATGCCATGACCTGTGAGGGCTGTAAGGGCTTCTTCAGGTAAACCGACATCTATATACAAACAATCTGTATTACAAAACGTATACACTAAAGAACACACACATTTTTGGCCCCTATCTAAAATCACCTAGGGCAAAACTTGGACTAGGGTTGTCAGAAGTATTGAAAATCAGATACCAATCAATACTAAAACTAGTATTAAAACTAAATACTCATGAGTTGGTATCATTACTAAAAAAAATTGCCATTGACAGGACAGAAGTGAACCTTCCCTGAATGTCTTTAGAATGATGTTGAGTTGTATCAGAACAAGTGTCAGAGCACATAGACTAGTATACACACATGGACCAACATGAACCTACAGCACCACTGACCATTACACACATATAATACACATGGAATAGAAAAGAAAGTTGTACCATTTAATGTGGAAAATCACAATATATTGTCTAAAGCAGGGATGTCCAAACGTTTTTCGTCTAGGGCCACATATCTAAACACAGACGAAGCAGAGGACCGACTGAGGGCCGTAGACTGATAATCAGTATAGGGAATAATTGAAATATGTGCATGTTTAACACGTTAGAATAAGCCATCAGTCTTTATTCATGCTAAGATCCTCAAAACCACACACTAAATATTCAAAATTAGCTTTATCAAAGTAGATTTTCAAAAAACTTGCAGTAAAAAATTATTTTAAATTGATGCAAGGTAATTTGGGCCAATTCACCTAGAAGCCTGAGGGCCAAGAAAAATTTGTCTGAGGGCCGCATTTGGCCCCCAGGCCATAATTTGGACATGCCTGGTCTAAAGAGTGTTTTTTATCATTGTGGTACAGAATCAGCATTGAGTATCCAGTCTATTTATTATTAGTATTGAGACTGACTTGACTGCACTACTACTTTAAAGCCTTTAAATAGACTGCAATCTGAGGAGTCGGTATGATTATGTCCTCACATTTAATTTATAGCTATGTTTTTTTTTTTTTTTTTTATAAAGACTCTTTTTGCAAATCGCATACTTTTTCCTTCATGTGACTCTGTATAGTTTACATGATTATACAGCCTTTGTAGCATAAACACGTGTAGGAGGAGCAGGCTCGTCTCAATGACCCACACGGTGCTGTATCGACCTGTTATTAGCCCTGTGCTTTTGAATGTGTGTGGAGCCTAATGGAGCTCTATGAAAATGAACTGCAAACCATGCCTCCCACTCACTCACGTGCACACATGTTGGGTTTCCATGCTTTTTGTGGACATTACATTTCCTGGTTCCTAATAAGGATTTGGGAAAAATAGAGGCTTTGTGATTTGCCAATTTCATCTATTCACATTTCAGTTTGATTGCCATCCAATCTTGTAGCTCTAGATCCTAACCTTAACCTTAACCTATTTTACCCCATCTGAACTTGAGACTGTGTTGTTTATTTATAAAAAAAAAAAGGTATTTTTGCATGTGTCATCTGCCTCACTCAGACTAGGCATGTCATGATAACAAATTCTGAAGTGTGATATAATGCTAATATTGCTAATAATGATAATATTAAAACTAATTCATGTCACTGACACAGTAAACCAAGAGAAGATTTAAACCTCAGAAACAGTTTTAAATGTAAATACTATTTAAAAAATCATAAGCCTCAATGTAAATAGCAGAATGAAACAGTTTAGTACTGCATCTGTAGTGAGTCATTGAAGTGATTCATTCAACCTTTACAGCTTAAATCACACCGTGTAGTCAAAAAACAGACAAACAGTAGTACAAAGAAACTGTACATGTGATAAATATTGACCCCAAAAATTTTGTTCAATATATGAAAGATGGAATCATTTAAGTTCATACAGTCCATGACAAGCCTCACTCAGACTGCACCGGGTCCGGCTGCGGTGTGGGGCTGGTCTTATTGTGGTGACACTCACACAAGGACTGAAGCTCTGCTGTGGTCAGCGCCTTTGAAGGCTGCACAGAGACCACGTGTTCACACCAATACTATTTATTTATTAAGAGAAAAGGCTCTCTCTAGTGTTCGGAGCTCCCCAGCACCTCCGCAGCACCTCCGCCCAGCTTTAGAGTCTGAATAGTCCAGGTACCGAGTACGATTATTAAAATTCAGCTATGATTATTTTTTATACTTTATTTGTCACATTTATTCGATTAATCACTGCAGCCCTAAACTAATAATACAGATGAACTTATTTTCTTCCACATAATGTACACATGAGTGTGAATGTGTGTACAAAACTTGGTCTCACAATGTGATGTTACCCATACCCCCCCCCCCCCACCACACACACACACACACACACACACACACACACACAGAAACAGAGCCGTAATGGCCGCTCACAGTTACATAAGCAGTGTTTACTCTGAGAATAAAGATGAGATATAGGCCAAAGGTGACGTGTCCATTCACACAAACACTTAAGGGCCGTATGGTATGGTAAATACACTGTAATGAGCTGTAGTCCTGGTACAATAGCTTCTATCAGTGTCAAGATATTAACATTTCAAACTTAAATTTGATAACAAGGAATAGTCTCAGTATTCATTACTGATTCAGATACCACAATGATAATAAAAAACCCTCTTTCTTTAGACAATATACTGTGATTTTCCACATTAAATTGTAGAACTTTCTTTTCTATTCCCATGTGTGTTATATGTGTGTAATCCTCAGTTTTGCAGTAGGTTCTACGGACATTCAGGAAAGCTTTATTTCCATCCTCTGAATGGGACTTTATTAGTATTGATACTTAACTAGTTTTAGTATCGATTAGTATCAGATTTTTTATACTTTTGACAACCCTACTTTTTATATCTGAAATAATCTGGATTAGTTTCTTTCTTTTACACATTTATTCCTTTATCTATGGAGCTAAGAGCACCTGGTCCCACTATATGATGTCATGAGCTGGATTAATTTTTCAAATGTCTAATAATAAAATAATATTGTTGGTGATCTGTGTTTTGAATGGAGAGGTCTAGAGGCAGCAGTCAGTAAATGTGGTTTAGTAAATGTGGTTTGGAGCAGACTCCACAGCATTGATTAAAAGTCTTATTCTTGGTAAACCAAATTAATGTTGAAATCCTTTTTTTTTTTTTACTATTAAGAGCAAGTGAAACCTTTTTTTTTTTGCTCACTTCCTGCATTGATCAGACTCATTCTCATGTCTTTAGCATCAAACTGCTCCACTGAATGTGCCACATATAGAAAAGACATAGAAGAAAACCATGACTTTTATGTGCATATGCATAATTTAATTTATTAAAAAACGTGAAATGCATAAATGCAGTTCCAATTGGCAAAGCACAAAGAATGAAATTACTAGCTTACTGCATCACTAACAGTATTCTAATGTGTAAATGCTTGACCTGTAGTTCACATGTTCTGAAATACAAATGATTCTTGTACTGGTAGGATGTCTTCAACATGTGCACAGTGAACAAATCTTGCCTCTCATAATCACAGTAAAAACATTTTTTTAAACATAGGCTTATAGACAGATGTCTGCCTGACTGTGTCCGTGACATGACACGATATATTCTGATGCGTAGTGTTGTTTTTGTTGCAGGCGCAGTATGAAGAGGAAAGCCTCGTTCACGTGTCCCTTTAACGGAAGCTGCACTATCACCAAGGACAACAGGAGACATTGTCAGGCCTGCAGACTGAAGCGCTGTGTGGACATAGGCATGATGAAGGAGTGTGAGTACATAATACAAAATTTTATATATATATATATATATATATATATATATACACACACACACACACAGTTGTTGTGTCCTTGCATCACTTCTGTCAGTCTGCTGCAGGACAGCTGTGCCCACAATACTAACTTACCACCTCAGACTGTCAAGTGAAAAAGTGTCAGGGAGTATTGTTGAATATGGCTTTAGATTATTAAACCTCCTCACGGGACTCTCTCTAAAAGCAGCCAACGCTACAGTGGTGAAAGGTGCCATCTCTTTCTGTTATTTAAACACGAGTTGGGGCCGTGTGCGGAGGGGCTCCTGTAAATATTATGTAATGTTTGAGCTCAGGTCGAGTCTCTTTGGGTCTTTGCTCCCTCACCGAGTTCATCAGCTTTAGGTTACTACAATACTGCTATTTATACTAACTACTAATGTTATCTAACCACTACTTAGACTGATTAACATATACAGTCCCTGACAAAAGTCTTGTCGCTTATCCATTTTGTAGAAACAAAAGCTTATATCTTGACTTTAAATTAATCGATTGGTTTTAGAAATGTCTCATATGAAAGCTAAAACCCTCCCAAATGATGCTCAATATATTAAAATACATTTGCTTCACTGAAGAAAGATTGATCATTTAATGAACACAGATTTTGGCAAGACAAAAGTTTTGTCGCCTACAGAAAACTGAACAAATAATTTACTTCAAATACAAAAATATGTTAAATAACGTCAGTGAATTAAGTAGTGGTGCTGTGAGATCCATATTTAATATCTTGTATGACTTCCATGAGCTTGAAGGACGCATCCATGTGGTTCAACAATGATTCATACAATTTGTTGATGAAGTCATCAGGAATAGCAAAGAAAGCGTCTTACATGCTTCCCAGAGTTCATCAAGATTCTTTGGTTTTGCCTTCCATGCTTCCTCTTTCATTCTACCCCAGACATGCTCAATGATGTTCATGTCTGGTGACTGGGCTGGCCAGTCCTGGAGCACCTTGATCTTCTTCACCTTGAGAAACTTTGATGTAGAGATAGAAGAATGTGATGGAGCACCATCCTGCTTCAAAATTTGACCCCTTTTATGGTTGGGAATGTAAGAGGTAGCAAATACTTCATGATATTTTAGGCTATTGATATTGCCTTCCACCCTGCAAATGTCTCGCACACCCCCAGACTGGATGTAACCCCAGACCATGATTTTTCCGCCACCAAACTTAACTGTTTTCTGGGTGAATCTTGGATCCATGCGGGCTCCAGTAGGTCTCCTGCAATATTTGCGGCGGCTGTGATGTAATTCAGCCGAGGATTCATCTGAGAAATCCACATTCTGCCACTTTTCCAGTGTCCATCCTTTTAGCAGGCTGTGGGCCTTGGCAAATACCACACATTTTTTTTTATTGCCTTTTGTTTAGTGCTGGTTTCTGTGCACTGATTCAACCATGGAGGCCATTTCGAGACAGAATTCTACAAACTGTTCTGGTTGACACAGGGACTTGAGGTGACCAGGCCTGGTGGAGCTCTGCTGCAGTGGAAAAGGGGCTGGCCTTGAATTTTCGAATCAACAAATGGTCCTCCCGAGCAGTTGTCTTGCGGGGTCTGCCGGACCTGGGCTTGTCAAAAAAATCTCCAGTCATTTCAGATCTTTTTCTTATTCTTTGTACTTGATGCTGAGACACATTGAAGGTGTCAGCCACCTCAGCAGTGGATCTGGTCTTCAGTCTCTTGATAATTAACGCTTTGGTCTGGGTGGATCTTAGGCATGTTGTCAGAGATCAAGTTGCAGTTGATGTGAAGGTCTGGCGTGCTGGGGTTCTTTTTATACACACCCACTAATTGACTGATCAGTAACTGATCACAGGTGAGGCTGTAATCTAGGATTGGGTGCATCATATGACAAGGCGTCAAGACTTTTGTCTTGCCAAAATCTGATCTTTCTGTGTTCATTAAACGATCAATCTTTTTTCAGTGAAGCAAATTTATTTTAGTATATTGAGCATAATTTGGGAGGGTTTTAGCTTTCATATGAGACATTTCTAAAACCAATCGATTAATTTAAAGTCAGGTTATAAGCTTTTGTTTCTACAAAATGGATAAGCGACAAGACTTTTGTCAGGGACTGTACTACTACTAACTAACTCTAACTCTTACTCTATATTATAATCATAATGTAAAAATATGATGACCCCTTTTATATTATTGTTATATATTATTGTTCTTTAAAAGGTCACCTTTATTGTGTGCTTCAGGAAATGTGTGCTCTGCGTTTTGACCCATCCTTTATCGTGGTGACTTGGAAATTAAACATGGAACCTTAGCCACCGTGCTGCCAGTGTTAATGTTTCCTTATTAGATGTCCAGACTTGACCTTGTATCTTCTACTTGTCGTTAACAAAACTAGTCATAGAACCCGTATCTTATATGGGCACAGATATATTGTCTGTTCTTGTAAAACACACACACATTTTATGCTTTTATACATTCAAGGCACTCAAAGAAGTTTACATCAAGCAACCATTCACCCACTCACACACACACATTCATACACCAGGGTACACAGATACTGGAGGAGAGGTGGGATAAGTGTCCTGCCCAAGGACACAATGACAGTATTCATTTGCGGAAGATGGAATGGCACCGCTAACCATTGTGTCAATGGATCTGACTGCTCTGCCAATTATGATTTTTATATATAGATATATATTGCAGATCTGTAGTTGAAATTGTCACATCAGAAAACATAGTCAGTTGATTACAGCGTTTGTTTTGATATTGTTTATTAATAGGCTCTAGATGCTATGTTGAACCCGGATGCGCCCACCACTCGTTTCTAGATCCATGTTGTTTATCTCTCTATGTAAACTCCAACTCAAACTGAAGCTGGCTGTTGTTGTTGAATCTCTGGACTTTACTGTGGCTAATTCAGTTCAAACAATCCCCCATCACAACAAAGAGCTGTATTCTGCTCCATGGACCCTCCCTCTCTCTACAGACCCCATCTGACAGCCCACCGCACACTTTATTAAACACACCTCAGAGCGCTTAAAACTGCACTATGTAACTTTTGTGGAGGGTCTGCCACCTGCTGGTCTTTCTTTGGATGTTACTGATTTGCCTTGAATGTTCCTAATTATGACATTAAACATATTTAAATCTATGGAAACAAATGTGTGATCTGTGGTGAATGTATAGCACAAAGGTTACACAGTGCAAGTTGAGATTTGTACTGATAATTATAATGTATTAGTCTTTATATAGCGCTTTTCTAGACGCTCAAAATTGCTTTACAGTTTCCTCCAATATCCATTCAGTCTACAGTTGCCCTGGGGCAGAAAGACAGAAATGCGGCTGCCAGTCTGTGCCATCAGCCCCTCCAAGCACCACCAACACTCAAGCACACAGCACATTGATTCTAGGCTATGTGGATGAAGTGTCTTGTCTAAAGACACAACAAGAGCTTCCACTAGAGCCACTGCTGCTTCACTGTGAGACATGGTATTCCGAGCAGTCTCCCATTTGAGTACTAACCATGTCCAGCCCTGCTTAGCTTCAGGGATCAAACGAGGTTTGGTCACAATGTATTGTTAAAAGCAGCTCAAATTCTGTGCCTTTCTTGGTTCTTTTTCTCTTTAAATATGTGTAAATGTTTCCCCCTGTCTCCTCTCAGTTATCCTGACAGACGAGGAGGTGCAGAGGAAGAAGGACCTGATCCAGAGGAGGAAGGAGGAGGAGGCTCAGCGTGAGGCCCAGAAAGAGGCTCGCCGGCCCAGGCTCACAGACGAACAGAGTCAGGTGATCGCCACTCTGGTGGAGGCACACCATAAGACCTACGACGACTCCTACTCCGACTTCAGCAGGTTCAGGGTACGATAAGAATACCATCTGTTTACATAAAGAGTATTACCAAGTGACTGTGGGGTTTACTGCATTATAACATATAATACCAACCACAACCGTGGCTTTATATTACAATCACTGATTCTTTTGATGCTCCTCCTCCTACGGATGTTTACTGTAGTTTGGCGCACAAAGGGAGAGTTTGTGAGTGTGCTGCTTGGAGTTTGTGGTTAGACATCACATTGCATGATCTCCTGCAACTTTAAACCGATCTTTTTCAAAAGGCAGAGCTGCACTTTTTCATGTTGGATATGACAACAACTAGTCTAATGAAGAATTAAAGGAACTAGTTTATCTCTACTCCATATGGCCTGTATAAAACTTACAAAATGAACATGATAGTTAGGAGGTGATTTTGGTCACTTTTGTGGACACAGTCGCCCTGAGAGACGCACAGCAATGTGGCTGACAATCTGCGCCATTGGCCCTTCTGTCCACCAATCACTCAGACCACATACTGCATTTGTAAAAGCATTCAACCATGTCCAGTTAGGTTCATTAGGTCTTCTGGTATAATTATACTTTAGTTTCTTATGTAAAGCCCTCTGAGTTCAGCCCAAACTGTCACGGTCTGAAATAAACAGAGGTCTGTACAGAAGAAAGTCAAATGTAATGGGCATTTAGTCTGCTCCTGTCACTGAGTCACTCCCACATTTGTTGGTACATGTGCATTACCTCACCAGGGGCCCCTGATTGTAAATGTACTCATGTTTCCTCATATTAAGGTCACCTGGGCCTCTCCAAAGCCCTGTACATGGGGAAACATTTTTAAATTCTCTGTCGCTTCTGTTCTCATTTTTCTCATTGTCATTTCAATTATATTTACAGTTCTTGTTTTAATGATAGGATTTTGTTCAAAGTTCACATCAACACGTCTAGGAGAATTGAGAAAAAGACTGAAATATGAACTGACAAACTAATCATATTTCAGAACATGTTTGTACAGATCTAGGGTTAGCAGTTTTTTATGCAGAAGACGACTGGAGATTTTGATGTTTGTGGAGGAAATTATGGTTCTTTCAAAAGCTGCAGCCTTTGTGCTTTGCTAATTGTTCCCATACAAATGATCAGTTTGTTTTGATTATGATTAATATTGCAGCACTAGTCTCCTGCATATGTTTCAGACCTGTCTTTCACTCCATTTCTCATGTTTTTGTTGTATTATATCTGTATTATTGCCATGTTCTTCTCATGTCCTTCTCGTGTCTGGTGTGCAGCCTCCGGTCCGTGATGGTCCAGTAACACGCAGTGCCAGTCGAGCCGCCTCGCTCCACTCTCTGTCAGACGCCTCCTCAGACTCCTTCAGTCACTCCCCAGGTAAACACTCTATCATGTCCTAAACATACTCTCCAGGATGGTGAGACGATTTGGTAAAAGACACTGTGTGTAACTTTCTGGAGATGGAAAATTAACTTCATGATTCCAAGGAAATAGAAATTTTAAAACCATACTACAGAACATTCTCCATGGAGATAGATTACTTTTATGACATACTGTGGAATTTTATAGCTAGTCAAACATTTCCATCGAAACAAGCAGGCCCTCTTTCAGGTCAGCCTGATTCATTCATGTTTGAGTCATCTTTATTCTCCTGTATTCAAGACACCATTGCTTTGTTTTTTATTTTATTTTATTTTCGTCATTGGTGATGCATAGAATTTGGCAGCGTCATGTTGAACAAAATTGAAAATAAGACTTTGTTCTTGATGTTTTGCCTGGTGAAATAAAGTTTAAATCAAATACATATATTTTAGCATGAATAATGAATAAATAAATAATTCTGCCACTTGTTAGCAAGATCTACATCTATCCATACAAGGGGCCGACAGCATGTGGCGCTTTGTTGTGATGACATTTACTCTGTGGTCAGCTCCCTTTGGGCACAACAGTTTTTTAACATGGACATCAGTGTTTCATAGATTATAACTATAACAGATAAAAGCATAATATATTATAGATAATTGTAATTTCATTGTCTGTTCAGGGAGTCATTCAAACCATGAGCTGTGTCTGTGTGAGTGGGTTTTGTACATGTTACTTTTGCACATTACGTGTTATTACTGTTTTCTTTACTGTTTTTACCACTGAGTCTGAACTGTAGGAAGTGAACAGAACCTAAACATTGACCAGAACAATGCACAGGGCCCCACAGCCTCTGCATCACTGAGTATTTTTAACTTTTATTATTGACTGGAGGGGCCTCCTTCAGCCAGACTCATCAGCTGCACTGGACTTAGAATGCATTAAAACTACAAAAACAGGCTCAACTTAAAGTGCACAGGCTAGACTGCTCATTTCAAATAACATCATCAGATTTAAAATTTCACTTTTTCTTGTTTGTAATGTGGTAATTTGGAAGTTTTACTTCCTGTTTGGACACAGGCAGCAGATGTGTCATACATACAGGTAATTCCATAAATGTTACCCTGTTTATAGTATTGTTGCTAGGTAACAGAAACTCTGTTCCAAGTAGGGACCGATCGAAAAGGTTTGGTAAGTTCTGGTACCAACAAAAAAAACAACAACATTCTTCCAGTGTCAACTTTCGATTCCTTGGTCTTAAATGCCTGGCCCACTCACACAAAAAATACACTGCACACATTCATCAGCAGCTCAGGTGCTCACGCATCACAGTAACTATAGACTTATCCAATTTGGAGCACTTGTGTGTAAATGATGTATTTAAACGAGTCTGTGTAAAATTGGCCATAAACCCTATCCTCTGTCCAGGAAACTGCACCGTAGACATGTAAAGTTATTTATGAAGACAAAAAAACATGTGCTCCGTGCCATTTACAAAGAAAACTAAACAAAAATGATGCATAAGGTAATTCAAGAATTTAAAAGTATTTTCTTGTATATTGGATATTAATTTAATTTATGTAAAAAAAAAATAATACAGAAATCAATTAGGAATCAGGACTCAAGAAAATCTAACTGTACCCAACCCTAGCTACAACAACATATATAAATTACACAATAGTTATGATTTATACCAATGAAAATAAATGACAACACCTTTATTTAGTTAAATGAAGGTTTAAACTGTCAGTCCTTCCTTGTTCATAAAGTATCTCTGCATTTAAATGGAATCGATGACAGTTGATGACATAGGTGGAGGGATTCTGTTTTTGAACTCACTCCTACTTTCTGTTAAACTTTTTGTTTTCTATCTCTTCTTCACAAACTGCCACTTAACTGATGTCAAATCAGGATGAATATTGACAACAGGTACTTCCCCATCAAACCAAGTCAGAATTAGAAAAATATAAATCTTTCATACTTCATAAGAAGTTTGTTCTTAAGTCAAATGTTGCTACTACTTTTCCATAACAAATGTAATGAATCAGTTATTGAAATAATCAAGCACATTCACTTTAATTTTTTGGCATCTAGATTAGACTAAAATATCCCATGCACTAAGGTAAACTATACACTGTTTTGGTTGTTGTTTTGATGAAGGAAATGTCCACGCTGTAAATATACATTTTATTACAGTTTATGATTCATGTGGTTCCAATTTAGTGACAAATCTTATATCCACTTACCTGATCTAATGACAGACAGAAAATTAGTCGGTATTATTATTATTATCATTATCATTATTATTATTATTATTATTATTATTATTATTATTATTAGCAGACAAAGTTCATGCAAAAAAAAAAAAAATCCCGTACTGGCCCATTATTGAGTCTTAACTGTGCCACTCATATTTCATGCTTAATATTGTAAATCTTTTCCTGTCCTCTCATGTTGTGGTGTTTCTGTGTTTCAGAGTCGGACACGAAGATGAACTTTAATAACATCCTGATGATGTACCAGGAGCAGGGCAGCAGCTCTGAGTCTAGTGAAGAAGAGGGCTCCAGCTTCTCTATGTTGCCCCACCTCGCCGACCTGGTGTCCTACAGCATCCAGAAGGTCATCGGATTTGCCAAAATGATCCCTGGCTTCAGGTACAGAACGCTCCAGGCTGCAGTTCAATGTGTAAACCTGGGTATTATCAATCAAGGAATGAGTTATTTTGGTAATGACAGGCATCACAACCGTAACAGCAAAAGACTACAGTAATCACTGTCATTTAACACAAAACTTTGAACTACGTTGTTCCTCCGTCAGTCATGCGTCTACAATCTGACAGAGGATTGGCTGTAGGCCTCTCCATTTAAAAACACCCAAGTGGACCACTGACCATTACAAACACCTGAATCTGAAAATTACAATTGCATATTTAAAATAAAACATTGTTTATCCTTCGCTTTGAACCGGTTTTCTGCTCTTACTTCCTCATCATTTGTAGACTTTGAATAGAATAATCTGTTTGTTTGTTTTTTTAATTAACAGGCTAAAATTCAGTATTAAACAGATCATTGTAGTAAAATAAATAGTGCTGCTATTTGTGACTTGGTGGAAGTTCTTGCGTAAACCCAGTGCATTCCTCTGTTGGGGGCCCTGTAGATTTTCTGCATAGTTTCTGAACAAATACGAAGAAAAACAGACTTGAGCATTATATAACTAATCTGCTCAGAGTCAGGAATCATGAACTTTTGTACCTGCCCCAAACCTCAAGATAAAGCTACACTCAGGATTATATTTAGTCTCCTGATTTATTTATTTTTTTCTTCCTATTTTATTACTATTGTTGAAAATGAGCAACTAGTTCAGGTGTGTTTTTATTATCATGTCTCCCTCTCCTCATGTCTGCTCCTCTTGTATCCTCTGGTTTTCTGTTTTTGGTGAAATCTTGCAAACGTGCTGTGACCTGTGTTTCCTGATATTTCCGACTCTGATGGACAGAACAGGATTACACTGGAATGTTTGTCCACTTAAAGTCCCCTTAAACACACACAGAGCAGAGCAAGGGTCAGCGCACAGACTGAAACACATCTCAAAATTTTCTTTACTCTTCTACCCATAATATGGATGTATTGTTGTTTTTAAGTTACAAATCTAAATCATGTAGTTGTAATGTTCATCGTTCATTTTGACTCTGATAGAATAATAAAATAATAGAATGATAGAATGATAAGCGGTGACAGCAGTGCACCACATCAGAGCACAGCGTGTAAAAACAACCTTACATTGGAGCTAGTGTCATTAGCAGCAGTTGTGGAGATATCAGTTAACAGTAGTTGTAACATGGCTGCATGGTGACTGAGTGGCTAGCACTCACGCTCAACAGTTTGCATGTTCTCCCTGTGCCCGGGTGGGCTTCCTCCGGTTTCCCCCATCAACCCAGGCACAACAGGTGAAATGCTCCAGCAAAGGTACTCCTCACCCAGACTAGCTCAGTGAATGAAGGGAATGAAGTTCTATGAAGTTCATCATGTCAACCTTACCTTAACAGTAGCAGCAGTATTCACTTGTGTATTGAAGTTAGTTATTATATATTAGTATATAGTAAGTAGATTTACTTGGCATAGAGCTGTAATATTATTAATTAACAGCAATATTCTACATGTATTATCTTAAGAGAGAGCTGACTGCAGGGTACAGTCCTAGTAATAGTCGTAACATTACCAGTAGCATCACTATTCTCATGTGTTGTCTTCACAGAGAGCTGACAGCAGAGGACCAGATTGCGCTGCTGAAGTCCAGTGCCATTGAGGTGATCATGCTGCGGTCCAACCAGAGCTTTAACCTGGAGGACATGTCCTGGAGCTGTGGAGCCCCTGACTTTAAATACCAGATCAGCGACGTCACAAAAGGTCCAACACCAGGCTTTAGCAAACTCAATCAAACTAAATCATTTACCACATCATATCATTGTCATCATCATATTTTGGTCACACTCATTCACATAAAATGTTCTTTTCTCTCTCCTGTAGCTGGCCACACTCTGGAGCTGCTGGAGCCTCTGGTGAAGTTTCAGGTTGGACTGAAGAAGCTGAACCTTCATGAGGAGGAACATGTTTTGCTGATGGCCATCTGCCTGCTGTCCCCAGGTAACACTAACTACTCATACTAATACTGCTATTACTAATCCGACTACTACAGCCAGTTTTGATGGGCACTGTTCGCTTGGGGCCGTTTTAACCAAAGAGCTGCTCCTTTGTGGTTCTGGTTCATTTTTAAGGAATCTCCCCTATGAGCCATCTCAGATTTGGCTGAAAAAATTCAAACGAGGGACCACTGTAAATGCAAGATGAATACATTTAATTCCATTTAGGACATTCCAGACAAAACAATATCACTTTCATAGAGACAAGCAGTTGGCTACCCTCCACTGGAAAATGTACATTTAGTGAATATATATTCACTCCACACTCGGTGATTGACTCCATCCTGAGCCACAACTGGAGACTTATATGTGCCAGTGGCCCCTCACACGGTGAGAGGTGTCTTGCTCAACGATTACATCTTAACTGGTCAAAACTGCAATTGAACCACCGATCTTCCGAATATAAGACTGGACATTACACAAGATTACTAGAAGTGATATTGTGAAATCATTGGTGTACCGTTATGGGATATTTCCTTTAAATGGCCCATATCAGGCTATTCTCTGATCTATGTTCCAATGTAGTTTCCTCATCACAAACAGATCTGGAGTTGTGTTTTGTTTCATTCACACTTTAACAAACTAATTCTGCATTTTTAAGCTGACTCTCTAACAGAAAACACTCTGTTCCACCTTGTGATGTCATGTTGTAATACAGGAAATGCTCCCTTGTGTTCCACCTTCACTTTACACCTTCACTACTTTGTATAATTTTAGCCATGGAATTGCCTCTGTACTGAAACAAAGGTAAAAGTTATTAATTTGAACACCATCACTTCTTGACATCACAAGTTGGAACAGGGCATAATGAGCGCTGGAGATCTAGGTTTTAGATTAATAATAAAAAAGGTGAATAAAACGTGCGAATGACACAAAACACAATTTGGGTATGTTTTGGAGGAGGTAACAAGATTACAGTGTGGTTTAAAGCTCACAAAAGTCAATTTTGTATAATCTAGGACCTTTAAATGTATATCTGAGCTTATGTTCTAAATCATGAGCTGCATAGGATCCTTTGGGTTAGTATCAGTGGAAGTCTGACCATAGAAACATGGTGGTTCCTCATTTGAATGTGATGGAACAGTGTTTGTTTCATGTGAGAGCGTTTGGAGAGAGTCCATGTTTTATACATGTGCTGCTCCTCCACCTGTGACTAACAAGGTGCTCGCATTCATCTGCAGTTCGCCTCATTAACAATGCAGAGAGGCCAGGAGGTGAGGACGCACATATGCACGCCATTAGAAGAGCACATGTGATTTGAGATTACATCAAATCACATGACTTCAACACACAAACACAATTCATTCTAACTCAAAGGGAGTGAAATCAACTCCATCAACGGCTGGCAGGATAAAATAAGTGAAAGTATCAGTCTGGTCCCCACTTCCTCCGTCATGCCTCAAGTCAGAATCAAACGTGATTGTCCAAAAGGGAGGCGGTGTCTGAACCTCCCCAAATGTTTTTAGTCGACCTAATTATTTCAAAGCTATTACACAGATTTATATGCACCAGAGCAGAGAGGAGAAGGTATGGTGGGAGATTTGGAGTGACGAGTCTGACCTTTTTATATGTAAAAAGGTACCATTGGTGAGTGCAGTTTGACTCAGCAGTTTGGTCAGATCGTAGAGATACTCAGTACATTTGAGGCACAACACTTCTCCTGTTAGTTGATTATTTCACGATGATGCTTCACACTTGTAATGCGCTTTACAGACTTGTCTAAATGTCAAAGTGCTGCACTGTAGTCATTCTTCACTCAACATTCAGTGGTGGTAAGTAACTATTATAGCCACAGCTGCCCTGCGTCAGACTGACAGAAATGAGCCCCCCTCCAACCACCAACACTCACACACCACACTAACCACACTAGGCAGAGTGGCTGAAGTTTTTTGCCTAAGGATACAACAGCAGAACTTAAGAGCTGGAATCAATCCCCTAACCTTCAGGTTGGGGGGCAGTTGCACTAACCCAGGCAGTGTATTTTTGTTGCCTATGCTGTACAAACACTTTGAGTAGCTTCCCTTCCCCCTCCTCACCTCCTCTGTGTCTCTCTCTCTTTCTCCTCAGACCGACCCGGAGTCCAGGATCACGCCCGTATTGAGGCCCTTCAGGACCGCTTGTCTGAGACCTTACAGGCCTACATCCAGCTGCACCACCCCGGAGGCAGACTGCTCTACGCTAAGATGATCCAGAAGCTAGCGGATCTGCGCAGTCTCAATGAGGAGCACTCAAAGCAGTACCGCTCGCTGTCCTTTCAGCCAGAGCACAGCATGCAGCTAACCCCACTTGTGCTCGAGGTGTTCGGCAGCGAAGTCTCCTAAAACTACCTCCAGTTTCAAGATGGCCACCGCTACAGGCAGGTGACACATGGTTCACTGCAGAGGAGGAGACGAGCTGTGTGGAAAGCAGTGAGAAATATAAATATATGATTCAAAAAGATGGCGACTCAAATATAATGAAATGTTGACTATAATGAAATGTGTTTTTGGTGGTTTTCAGATGACGTTACTCTCACAGATGAGGGGGACTCATGGATTCATGGATTTCAAAGGGACAAAATTGGAATTAAGTCCTCAAAATAGCTTCTATAACAGAAACCCCCCCCCAAAAAAAAAACAGAAGTGACAGAAACCCATGTTTTATGTGGTATTTTCTTTTCATTAATAAAACTCAGCATATTGACAATAGTAATTTTATCTGCCCTCATCACAACATCAAAATACATTAAGATGTTATCTGCAAACCACAACAGCTTTATCTAAAAGAGGAACTTTATTAGAATTTAAACACAAAATCTGCTCAAAACCATTCTTAAAATATTTTCAGCAAATGAAATTTGAATTTGTTTTGTTAAAAAGTTCAGCTTTGAATCATGTTGATTGAAAAAAAACCAAATTAATGTACTCAAAAGTTCTTCTTTCGCTCACCAGAGTTTTGAGGTTGACATAAATGACATGCATTTACTTATAGTCAACATTTCATTTTTAGAGAAGGAGAGATATAGGAATAGAGTCTTTATGTTTGTCTTGTCTGAGAATTTTATTGGAAATTAGGTTAAAGTTGGAAAAAGAGTTGATGATGTGTTAGACTAAAACCAGTGGTTCTCAACTGGTGGGCCGGGAACCAAATTCCTAAATCGGAAAATAGTTAAAAATTTCAGCCCAGAAAGTTTCATGAAATGATAATATGGTGAAACACATGTATAAAATATATTAGATCAACTTAAAGCACTTATATGAATGTTACAGTTGTGTGCTGTAATTTCAATTTTCGAATCAGACATTGGTTTGAAATTTAAGTTTTTTCTTTCCCCTTTTCAGAATTATAGAATTATGATTGTCTACCCTAACTAGTTTTATCTAGTATTTTTTTTTTTAAATCTTGTTAAAAATTCTAGATGTTTGTAGTTATCCCAAGGCAAAAATGCCCAACGTTAGCTGTCTTACTAGAAAACTTAAAGTGGGGGTATTATGCAAATAGCCATGTCTCCTGGGCACTATTCAAACCCTCCTTACTGTAGCTGTAAGATTGTGAAATGTATAGCACATTCATGCTCCCTAAGGCACTTGATCATAAATATACTAAAGTATCATACAAAACAATACAACTTCACAAACCTGCTGTAGTTTCATTAGTGGGATGGACACTGATTGTGTTGTGATGTCTCTCTGAAGGGGTAGTGACTTAGCTCAGAGAGCAATGGGAGGGGAGACTCAGACCATCAAAAATGATGTTTTAGCGAATACCGGTAATACAGCATTTTCAAAACAATAAAAGGTAACATGGCAATTTGTATGTTTTAAAAGTGAAAACCCTATAGAAGTAAAATAAATTAATAATAATTTCTTCCTCCTACAATTTCTAAATTTCAAAATTACATAACATACTGGTTATGTTTCTATTTAGTCCTATCTTGCACTGATGATAAATCAAGTCTTAGAAGGACACATTTTGTATTAAAAACGATTTCCTGCAAATACCAAAAAACAGGTAAAAATGTTTTGACCTGGTTTAGTCCCTTGAAACTGCATTATATTTTTTAGACTTCTGGCCCAAACTTGATGGTGGTAAAATCCTCTTTTCTACAAATAATATCTTACTTTTTCTAACTGACTTTTAATACAGTTTCCTAAAAATCTACCCATACATTTTTATTGTTTAAAAAATTCCAAAATTGCCAAAAAGAAATCGTTGTTGTCAAATGTTTGCTGAAAAAAAAAAAAAAAAAAAAAGAAATTTGGATCCCAATTTGAGGCCATTTGAGGACCACTGGAACCAAGGGAGCGTCCTATAAGATACTATTATTATTATATCAATATTATACATTTTCTGCCTACTTACATTTTAATGTATTTAAAATCAAACTTCTGCTGCTTAAAATGCCTGGACATCAAAAACACATGGATTTGGTACAAGTCCATGTTTCAACACACAACCTACATAGCTCAGTTCATTCAGCCATTCTGTTATCCTACCTCTTTGGGTTGTTTTTTAATTATGAGACTGTATTTGTAGATTGCCGCTGTATGAGACATTATTTTACAGTTAGACCACACAGTCCCGATGACACTCTGCTCGTCTGGGATTTCAGTGCCTGCACAACTGTTCTGATGTTATTTTTACATGTTATTCTCAAGGCAGCATTTGTATACAGTTTAATACAGCCATCGGACACAACATTATGACCACAGACAGGTGAAGAAAGCCTGTGCCTCTTAAATGGGATATTATGGGAAAACTATTCAGAAGTCATTTGAATTAATCTAGACAATGTTTAAAACTGTGAGTCATATCTAGAAGAATGGGTCAGAACATCTCCAAAACGGCAACTTTTGTTGTTTGGTTTAGTCCTGTATTAGAGCTTCTAGTCCCAGGTTAGACTTGGTTTAAACCTTCATCAATCCTGTTTTGGACTTGGTTAGACCTGTTTTTAGTTCTGGGTTTAGTCTTGGTTTAAAACTGGTTTAGTATTGGGTTAGCCTTTGTTTAGCCCAGGTTTAGCCCAGGTTTAGCCCAGGTTTAGCCCTGGTTTAGCCCTGGTTTAGCCCTGGTTTCAGTGCATATTCAGCCTTGTGATCGTACTGTTTTTTTCGATGGCTGTGGCTCAAATACCTGTCGCCAAAGGTTCGCTCTCTTCCATTTTCTCCTATAACGCGATGAAGGAACGGGAATTTTATTTTTACATTTAACCTTCAACAAAATCTGTTTATGGACTCTGCGCGTGGCTTTGGTGACCACTAACTTTTACACTACGACTTCTCAACTGTCACTCAAATCAAGCCTGCATTATCATTTATTTGTACTTTCTTTTCTTTATCCGAAATGAGTGTAAATAGGTTCATTGCTTCCACTTCTAACGCTAAGCACTGTTAACCACCTTTAACTCATGTATTGACATAGACCGTGAATCTATCTGTAAACATTATGAAATGGTAAGGGCTAAAACGCCAACTCGAACTGGAAATTTTTGCATATTTTACAGGCCGAATGCAACAGGTCTGACTTGTGAAACATCACTTGCAAAATACAGGAGCATGTCACAAAATCTAGAACTTTGTGGGGAAGAATTTGGTTGTTAAATTTAAAATGCCAAACTTAGTGCATACATATTTACATATATACTTTTTGGAATAATCATTACTAATCATGTGGTTTGGATAAACTGATTTTGAATTTAGCAGCTACTTTTTAAGACAGATGTCCTTCATCTTATAAAAGACTCTATTAAGCGTGGCCAAATCAGGTTCAAGCAGGGACTAAAAGTGGACTACAGTCTGTAGAGACACGTGTCTAAAACCTGTCTTTTCTTTGGTATTACTCTAAAATTAGCGTTAAACCAGGACTAAATAAGTAAGTGTAAAGTATTGTCATGCAAAATTGGCACAAAATTAGGACTTAATCAGAACTGAACCAGGAATAAACACTGACTTAAGCAAGACTAAACCAGAACTGAGCCAAGATTATAACCAGGTTAGAGGGACTGAAGGTAAAACAGCACTAGCCTTAGTCTACAGTAAACATTTTTAAAATTCATAACATAACATTGTCCTAAATAAAAAAAAAAAAAACACATTGGACTTCCACACATGTCCAAAGAAATCTAATTTATCTAGTGGAATTTGAAAACCGCAAGATTTGTCATCATTTTATGTGAATTCAGATGCCTTCCCTGTCACAGAAAGTGTACTGGCTTTAGCGCTTCACTCTATCAGGGCTGCATTATATTATTGTAAACTATTGCCAAAACCAACACTAAATAAGGTTAAGATATTGATTATTGTGTTTGCCAATATTGCATTACAGATACTTTGATAACACAATATATATTGGGACTCTTTTAGTGGTCAGTGTGGCGAGTGAAGGCTTCTGGAGTCTGAACAGTCCAGATAACGACTGCAATTATTTTAAGAGGCAATTAGTCATTATTGCAGCCCTAATATTGTTTCAGTTGAACATATTCATTTGACATTTTAAATGTTAACTTCTGAAATTCCCCATAATTCCCCACTCTCTTCTGTGCGTGTGACGTGTGCCTGGCCTAACTGATGCAAAAGCTCTTATTGTTTTTCTACATATATGACGTTTTTAATAATGATGCAATTCCATGAATTGTTGCAGTTCCGTATACAGTATACAAACCTCCTCGGATCACGCGGCCCTTTCGTTTTGACTGGGAACAATGTTGAGGTGTACCGCCCTCTGCTGGCTCTTCTGTAAATACCAGGTATAAATATATAAGGAGCAGTATGCTAAATCCGCCGCTGTAAATAGGGCTACATAGATTATTATTATGATTTCTCGTCTTTATTTTCGGGAAAAATAAATATATGCAAGTACAATATTGAATCATCACTATTATTATTATGTTGTATGTAAGAGTGTGTTGTTTTGACGGAGTTTCTATTTTCATTTTAATAACAAGGACAAGCTAACATGCTAAACGTGCTGCTCTCTAAAAAAAAAAAAGCCATAGATCGCCTATTTTTACAGAGTTTTACAGTGTAACTTTGCTGTCCATCGAAAAGGCTGAACACGAACGGCCAGTAATGAGGAGGCCACTTTATTAGGGACAACAGCTGCAGGCAGATAAAGGGGCGCACACCTAGGACTGGGCCAGGACTGGACTAAATTAGGATTAGAATTAGGACTTTTGCCAAATCGAGAAAATTGTTTTGGACTAGACCTGGACTTGACTGGGACTAGATTATATAACCAAGACTCTTGGTCCAGGTCTAAATTAGCAGGACTAAGTAAAACTGAAAATGGTTTAAAACAGGACTTTCTAAATGGTAGGACTTAAACTAGGACTGAACCAGGACTAAGCCAGGACTTTCTGACCCTCAGCAATCTTTCTACCATTTTCAACTGAACATAACGTACCTAATAAAGTGGCCTCTGCAGCTTGGATTGTTTTGGATTGCTGATCAAAGTTGAAACTAGGAGATGAATCTAGACTTGTGGCTGATCTGAGATGGTAAAAGTTGCCGAGAGCTTTGTCTATAGTTTTCAGTGGGAGTGTATTTAGATCTATTCTGATCATAAAAATCACTGTGATATTGAACAGAAGCAGTTAAAACCGTCTATCATTGAAATTTGAAATATTTAGCGTAAATTTGTAGTAAAATTTTGGTTAAAGTTGTTTTTTATTTTGGGCCCCTGTTTGTTCTAAATGAGGCTGAAGGAGAAGAGAGATGGAGGTTTCAATCCTGCAGTAACATTGTTCTCTCCTCACAAACATGCCTGAAGAGGTTTTAGATGACATCCATGCATGTTTGAGTAATCTAGCGATCTCTCCCAGGCACTATTGCAGCACAAGCCTATGTTACCCATGCTCCCCACACAACAATTCTCCAAAAATATACAAAAAACAGGCTATAAAACTGTACACAGCAACTAGACAAAGCTGATGCGATGTGCAGGAGTTTTTAGAGGGATGCACTCTGATTGTGTTGTGATAGCGCTCTGAAAGGGGAGTGACTTAGCGGCAAGAGCAAAGGAAACACTCAAAATTTAATAAATTTTGCCCATACAATCTTGGAAACACGTGCCACTTATCCACACAATACTCAGTGACACGAACTGTAAAACCATATCTCCTTCAGCCTCTTCAGAACATTTCATTATTTTTGGGCTTTTTAAAATGATTTGCAGATTTGTTCTTTGTTTAGTCACAGTTTGAAAATCTCGAAATTACTGGGACGAAATTCTCTGTCATTGCTGTGAAAGAGTAGAAACTTTTGGAGGCAGTACCACTCGTTGGCCAGAGGGGGAGTTGTGCGATGTGCTTGGTTACTGATCATTTTGAAGTTTGTCCATGTTTGGGGGTTACTTTCGGTGAATACTTTTTTTCAGATTTTTTTATATTTGGAGCGGTTGATGTCGTATGTTTAAAAATATAGTGGGAGAATTAGTGGATTTCTTAAGCAAGTGCCAGATGGGGACAGATCCCAACACTTAAGAACAGGGTAAGAGATTTTTACAACAAGAAATGCAGAGGACGTTGGCCAGAGAGCTCAAATTTGACATTACATATTTGAATTAATAAGTTGAAAAAATAATAATTTGCAATACCAGTTCCAAAAAATGTGCATGTTGAGAAAAATGTCCAAAAAAAAAATTCTGTTCCCTCCACAAATAATGACAAATATGAAGAAAGATAGTTTTATTATATTAAAATAAACACAAAAGTAAACACAAAAACTCAAATGGCAGTCAAAGTCACAGGACTATAGTGATATGTAGACCTGGTTTAGACCTGACTTAGACTTGGCTTAGACCTGACTTAGACACGGTTTAGCCAATGTAACTGGTGAACTGTATGTGTAAGTTTTATCTTTGAATCAGAAAATCTTCAAAATTACAACATCTCAAAGTTACCTCCATCACCACAAATAAGAAATAATAATATAAATTTGAAATGATCTGAGGACATTTAGACGTGGTTTATGTAAAAATCACTTTTTAACTGAAGCCACTGGCCACATCCTCTGCCTCCTCAGTTGGTTGCTGCTCTGAATGTTTTGTGTTGCGGTTTTAACATTGGAACTTGAACCAGAAAGTTACAAAAATCAAAAAATTGCAATAAATCTACAGTTTCAATCTTGATTTTTTTTTTTGTAATTTTTGGATTTTTGTGAATTGGCGTCAAAATAATTCAATGCCTGCAATATCTGAATATGAACTGACTTAAGGTACACAATCACCAGCAAGCTTTCCTGTTGTCATGTTTTTATATTATCATTACAAAACCTGTCTGGATCAATAACGGCAAAAATAATACTGCATTTTGAATTTTATATACAGTATATTTTTACAAGCGCCCATGTTATTCTAATGGGGGTGATCCACAAATTTCCCATTGTCAAAATGATTAGCATCATGAAAGAATGTGAAGTTTAACACAGTGACTCAGGTCCCTGTCAAAACAGTCTATGGGGCCCATGTCGTTTTCCATCATGTTGCCATGGCGATGCCCGAAAGTGCCCATGTTATTGTATAGTGTTTCTGAAATGTCCCATTAATGGACAAATAATTTATGGAAGAAGGTGAAATCATCCTGATCAAATAAGTCAGTGGACCCTGTGATATTTTGCATAGTGTCGTCATGGTGATGAAGCTTTGACTGAATTTTCCACAGTATTACACTTATCTATCATTAGAAACAAGCATCCCACACTTTACAGGTCAGATCTGCGGTTTGGCGAGTCCGCTCACAGTAAGCTACGTGTTTGTCAAGGTATTTCCTAACAGTGCAATGTTTAATACCGTACTGTGAAACATTCCAAGCAAAGCAATGACATCTCCATGAAGACCAGCGCAAGAAAAGTTCCATAGTGAACTTTTAACTGCTTATCTTTTAGTGATATTAAAACAATTTGAAATCCTGAAACGTTTAAACAATGAACTCAAAAAAGTCAAATTCAAAGCAGCGTGTTATTTTTGCTCTTCATCGGCCATCTTCCTCCCAGCTCTCATGGACAGGGATTGTAATACGTTTCAATGTAGTTCTAATGAAATGGATGTACCACCATTATCTACCTAAGTACAGGACTGACTACCTCTTTTAGCCGAGTTTTGCTTTAGCATCGAGCATTGCCTCTTTTGTAATAAGTATTTGTATCGTGTTGTATTTATTATGGAATGAAAACTGCAATGAATACCTCAGATTTCTCACAAACATTTGGGAGAGTCCAGTTCAAATGAAGTAATTCACTTTTTTTTTTTTTTTTCTTTTTTGTACAGTTATAAACGTTTTTTGTTTATTTTTTTTTCCTCAGATTTAACATTGCCTTTTTAACGCACAATTAAACAAAACCAGGAGTGTTTCTTCAAAAATAGTGCCTGCACATTGGACGACCGGAGTTTGAAACTGGGTAATAAGGACATTTTAGAATTGAAATTAAAAATCTGATACTAATCGATACTGAAACGAAGTAAGAAACCAGATCCTCATTTGAACAGGTATTGATACTAAAACTGAATGTCTTTAGAATGATGTTGAGCTGTATCAAGTGTCAGAGCACATAGACTAGTATATACACACGGACCAACATGAACCTACTGCACCACTGACCATTACACACATAACACACACTGGAATAGAAAAGAAAGTTCTACCATTTAATGTGGAAAATCACAATATATTGTCTAAAGAAAGAGAGTTTTTATCATTGTGAGATCAGAATGTGTATTGAGTATTGAGTCTGTTAGTTATTTTAAAGACTGATCACCAGACTGTAACTAAACTGAAGTTTAAATACAAACAAGAGTAACAGTAATAGTACTTTTGTGGTACTTTTTGCCCAGTTTTTGCTCCGGTGTCTCTGCTCCTGTCTGCTCCTTTTTACCCTCTTTTATTATCTTATTTTTTCTTCTTCAGTCCCACTTGACCTTCCTCCATTTTTCATCAGTGCTTCTCTTTCTTTGACTACAGCGCCACCTACACATCCAGTCAAGAGTTTGGACACACTTTTTCATTTTTGCCACTGAAGGCATTAAAGCTATGAATGGACACACATGGAAATCATAAAGCAAAATTAAAATCAGATAACTACATTATCTCTCTCTTTTTTTTTTTTTTTTAAGCTACCCTTTGCTTTTCACTGCTTTCTTTGCACTTTTGGCATTTCTTGACTCTGACGTGACACAGCTGTAAAGTAGGCGTGGGACGAGACACAGTTTTCACAAGACGAACACACCACGAGATTGGGTCTACGAGAACGAGACAAGAAGAGATTGACAATTTCTAAAAAATAAGTAGTTGCAACCATTTTGCAATTTTGGCTTCACAATTTTTTTTATTTTATACCCTAGCGGTCATTGTAGTGCTACTTTTTGGAACTACAGCTTCCATTCACTTTTTTAATCCAAGCCAAAGTTAAATTCAGTAAGAAAAAAATCTCAAGAGATCTTTTTTTTATCACGTGTGCACAATCTCGTAGCAGTTTTGTCTTGTGATATCTTGTCCCATCACTACTGTGAAGCGCAAACCATTTCAGGAGAAGAAGCTCAGTGAGAGAGGGCCAAGGGTTTGCAGCTGTCCACAAAGCAAAGGGTAACCAACATAAAGAAAAATAACACAGAATGAGAAGGTGTGCCCAAACTTTTGACCAGTATCTGTCCCCACCCTCCATCGTCCAAACTACTCACTCCCCTCATTTTCTGATTTAGTTTTAAACGCTGCTTTTTCCAGTAAAATTCCATCAAATTCAAGTTTTATTTTCATTATAACTGAGCAACTACTTTTTTTTTTTTTTTTTTTGGTGAATTTTGGATTTCTATATTTTTGTTTCTCTCATGTCAAACTGCTTCAGGTTAACACTGAAAGAATCCACTTTGTGATCAAATTCCGAGGAAATTTTCAAGCCAAGCGCTGTGCCATTTTTTAGAAAAAGTGTCTTCTAAAATTGGCTTCAAAATTTCCAAGGAAAACTAAGGATTGTCCCAAAACGAGAGATTCAATTGGCTATTTGATTTGTATCACATTTTCCCTTACAAAGATGTAAAGATCCTGCGGTGTTCAACACAAGCTGCACACGCACACTGGTGAAAGTTTGTTCATTTCTAAATAATAACTCTTTCTTTAAAACTCAAAAGTTGTATGTTTCCCTACATTTCAGAGCGTAACATTTTCATGATCATAGTTCTGTAATGACAAAAAAGCAAATGAAGATATCATTAGCGTGTTGTTTAGCCAATATAGTTATGGTTTAACTTGAACACTGTGATTTTTGTCCCAAAGACGACCAGCAGGGGGAGAAGTTGGACGTTTTATCCCCTTAACAATTCATTTTAACACTAACCGACCATTTAAGATGAAACCATGACTTAGTTTTGCTTTAAAACTTAACTGTAACTCCTTTTTAGATGTGCGCTTTGCATTTGAGACCAATATTTTTAAACACGAAGCACTTAGAAGAACGTAAATCTACTTTCAAATGAATTTCCCTGTCTCGCAATGGTGAATATACAGCCCCAAACTTAAACCAGGAATCCTCTGGTTAAGGGGCACTTGCTCTGTAACCACACAACTTGCCTATAAGCTCTTTTTGTATACTAGTATTGTCCCATGGTAACAAATTAAGCATTAATTAGCTGAACTAAATCAGTTCTTCAGTTTTGACCATTTAGCCTTTAGCTTTAGTGCTAAGTGCTACAGGAAGTAAACAGGCTACTAGCTAACGTTTGCTAAACTGGTCTTGACAAAAGTTTCCAAAACATGTTCTAAATACTCCTTCTACCAAATGACCACACCTCAAGTTTAAGGCTAAGATACCTATTCAGCATTGTTCATTGTTTTCATTTGTGGCATATCACCAAAGCAAAGTCTTAGTTTGTGAAATTTCGATCAGATTTTTAGTGATATTGAAAATCCTGGATCCTGAATTGAAGTGTGCGATGGTGTGAAGCGTGTGCAGCCGTGTTGACTTACACTGGGGTCTAGAATACAATGTGATTGGATTTCAAATGTTAAACTCTGCACTGTGAACCAAAACGTCACTTATTAGTAAAAGGTAAAAGGAAAATTTGCCTGAACCAACAAAAAGCACTTATTGTACAAAAGTAATAATTAGATTAGTAATAGCCACAATCTGCCACTAGAGGGCGATGACGTGGCGTTGAATATTAGTAAGAAAAAATGTTTAAAAATGTCACCTGAAATTCTAAAATAAATTAAATTTTTTTTGTCTCTTATTTTTTCAAAGATTATTTTTTCCTTTTATAAATTTGGTGTTAATGTAATGTTATTTTTGTCAAATGTTTTGCAAATCAAAAATAAACAGTTGTACATAGCAGCATTTTCCTGTGTGTTCATTATTTAAATAAAGTTGTGCGGGGCTGAATGTAATTTTTACAATCATAAAACTGTTAGTTATTTTTTTGGTAAAATCACACACAGGGAGAACATGCAGACGTCACAAAGACCCTGGGAGAATATGCAACATCGACACAGACATGGGGAGAACAGGCAACCTCCACTTAGACACAAGGAGAACATGCAGACTCCACACAGACACAGGGAGAACATGCAGACTCCACACAGACACAGGGAGAACATGCAGACTTCACAAAGACACTGGGGGAACATGCAACATCGACATAGGACGAAAACTCCACACATACATGGAGAACATGCAAACTCCACACAGACAGGGAGAACATGCAAACTCCACAGAGACACAGGAAGAACATGTAAACTCCACACAAACAGAGAGAACATGCAAACTCCACACAGACACAAGGAGAACATGCAGACTCCACACAGACACAAGGAGAACATGCAGACTCCACACAGACACAAGGAGAACATGCAGACTCCACACAGACACAAGGAGAACATGCAGACTTCACAGAGACACAGGAAACATGCAGAGTCCACACAGACACAAGAAGAACATGCAGACTCCACACAGACACAAGGAGAACATGCAGACTCCACACAGACACAAGGAGAACATGCAGATTTCACAAAGACACTGGGGGAACATGCAACATTGACATAGGACGAAAACTCCACACATATATGGAGAACATGCAAACTGCACACAGACACAGGAAGAACATGTAAACTCCACACAAACAGAGAGAACATGCAAACTCCACACAGACACAGGGAGAACATGTAAACTCCACACAGAAATACTTTCCATGGCCTGAGGATCAAAGTTGGGAACTTTGGTTTGTGAGGCAGGACATTAACTCTCCTGTTTAACTCTGTGCTGCCCAAATCCAGCAGGTAAGAAGTTGATTTTTATTTGTACACTTTTGGTTAAGCAGGAAGTCCCAGAGATTCAGAGTCGTGTTTACATCACACTTGAGAGAAATGGTCAAATAAAAGTCAAGAGAGTCTGAACTGAAACATCGTGACACAACAACAGTGAAACAGTTTCTACAGCTCACTCATGTCTCATGCATCATGTTGCTTTATGTGTGGAAGTCCACCAGAGGGCAGTGTCCCCCCTCTCTGGCCTTGATTGACCCCGTGACCTTTTCATTTCTACTTTCAGACTACTTTCAGACTACTTACTTACTAAACAAGAACTAAACCAGAACAAACAAGAACTAAACAAGAACTAAACCAGGACAAAACAACAACTAAACCAGAACTAAACAAGAACTAAGCCAGGACTAAACAACTACTAAACCAGAACTAAACAAGAACTAAACCAGAACTAAACAAGAACTAAACCAGAACAAACAAGAACTAAACAAGAACTAAACCAGAACAAACAAAAACTAAACAAGAACTAAACCAGGACTAAACCAGGACTAAACAACAACTAAACCAGAACTAAACAACAACTAAACCAGAACAAACAAGAACTAAACCAGAACTAAACAAGAACTAAACAAGAACTAAACCAGGACTAAACAAGAACTAAACTAGAACAAACAAGAACCAAACCAGAATAAACCAGAACTAAACAAGGAACAAACAAGAATTAAACCAGGACTAAACAACAACTAAACCAGAACTAAACAAGAACTAAACCAGGACTAAACAACAACTAAACCAGAACTAAACAAGAACTAAACCAGAACTAAACCAGGACTAAACCAAAACAAACCAAGTCAGGACCAATAATGTAGAGAATTTTTTTTTTTTTTTAATGGCATAATTAGCGTTAAAACAATTTTTTGCAATAATTCTGATGCTCCAGGGGTGCCTCTCCACAGATCTGACCTGTAAATTGGTCATCCACGTAACGCAATAGCATCTCCACAGAGCCAAGCAGGTGATGGACACCAGAAATGTTCCACAGTGGGCCAAAGTAAGTAAAATACATAAGTACTTATAAAGTAAGTAAGTCTCTACTACCCACCTATGACCAAAGACTAAACCAGAACTGAACCAGGACTGAATCAGGACTAAACCAGAATTGAACCAGGATTAAACCAGGACTAAACCAGTACTTAACCAGGACTAAATGAGCCTAAACCAGGACCATAGAAGAAGGACTGAACCAGGACTGAACCAAGTCTGAAGCAGGTCTGAAGCCGGTGTAGCCCGGGCCTGCAGCAGGTCTGTGAGCCTCTCTATCTGTCCACATGTGTCCTGCTGGAGTCTGCTCTCTCCAGATTTTCTCCTCTTTTCTCTGGACGTGAGATAAGTTTGTGATGCTCGTCTGTGAGTTCGCTGTCGTGGTTTTTATCAGACAGATCCAGGGCTCAGGCAGTTACCCAGCAGCCCTGAGCCAACAGCTCCCCCACAGATAACAGCTCACGCAAGCAGAGCACGAGCCACCATCCAGAAGCACAACTCTGACCTGACTGACCCGACTCACACCACCATCCAGAGGCACAGCTCTGACCCGACTGACCCGACTCACATCATCACACCTCTGCTGAATGTGCACTTCAAATGACACTGTTCTTTGAATTCTGTTCTAATGTCATTTTCTCATCACACACACATACACATACACACAAACACACACACGCACACACACACACACACACACGCACAACACACACACACACACACACACGCACACACACACACACACACACGCACGTGCACACACGCACACACCTGGAGTTTTTGTGTTTGTTTCATTCACATGTTTGACTCACAAACCTGCACATTTACACTGAGTTTTTCTTTCAAACTGAAAACGCTCTGTTCCACCTTGTGATGTCATGTGGTAATTAGGGGTGTGCAAAAATATCAAAATATTGATACATTGTTTATTGTGATGACAGTATTGATATCATGGGCTGCTGTATCGATATATCGGCGAGAGTATTTTTTTGGTGTGTTTGACTAAATTATTTAGTTACTCTACAGTTTTGTTGTTTGTTTAAGGAAACTCGTTTATGCGACACATCGGAGGCAGAACCAAGTCATTGTTTTGCAAGTCTCAAGTACGTCTCAAGTTTTTGACCTCAAGTCCAAGACAAGTCCCAAGTCAAATACAGGCAAGTCCAAGTCAAGTCCAAGTCGTCTGCTTTGAGCTTCAAGTCATTTATATGCATTTTAAAGTAAATTATTATTAAAAAGTCCAAGTATATTTATAACTGAGTATTTATATAAGAAATGCTTTTTTTTTTCTTTTTTCTCTTAGATCTTAGTGTGAATCATTACAGTAAAAACAGAAATAATTCAGATTTAAAAGTGCTAAATAACTGTTATTTTGTCATGAAGGATCAGGTTCTCTGTAGTTCTTTGTTTTACTGCATATTACAAACTGAAGTGGGAGGGATGTTCTAATTTGTTCTTATAAAATTAAGCACCACATTTTTCAGTTGTAAAGAGAAAAATATTTTCTAAAAAAACATATTTTTTTAGGAGAAGCATCACGGCTCTCAAGTCACAGGCCTCAAGTCCAAGTTAAGTCCCAAGTCCTAAAAATCTCAAGTCGGACTCGAGTCCCAGTCACGACTCACAAGTTCCACCTCTGCAACACGTAAATAAAGAAAACCCAAAGGAAACTTGTTTATGTAACACATTTGATATTTTCAAAGTTTTGGTGATTAAAGTGTTTGTGTTTCATATGAACTTTGCTCAAGATGTGGTTTAACAAAGACTTTTAGTGTCACTCACATGATTTAGACTTTATTCTTATTGAAACGTATCAAATCGATTTGAAATATATTTGAAATATATTTGAAATTTGAAATAAATAGTAACTTCTTAATGATGCCCAGCTCTAGTGGTAATACAGGAAGTGCTCCCATATATTGTTAATTATCTCCATACACACCACACATCTTCACATTTGTATCATCAGCGTGGTTTTGCCAGTCTCTATTGAACTCAAGGGAAAAGGAGCTTCATGACATCACAAGGTGGAACAGAGCATTTGGAGTTTTGGACATGCAGACAGAATAATAATAAACAATTAAACTCAAACCTGTGTGAAATAAAACTCAAGTCCAGGTCTGATTTTAAGGAGGGCACAGGCGTGGTTCAAAACTCACAGGAGTCCATTTTGTGAAGAACGTTCTGTACTTTGACAGAGTCCTGTGGAACTCCTGCTGGAGGTAAATAGAAATAATAATAATAATAATAATAATAATAATAATAATAATAATAATACAAACAAATGTCAGAATGATCACATCCACTTTCACACAATTTGAACTACAATCACTAAAGTACAATTACACCAGGACTGAGGTCAGAACCAGACCTGGACTATACAGAGACTTAACCACTAGACCTAGTCTAGACCAGGACTAAATCAGGACTCACGAGTCCAGAAATAAACCAGAATTAAACTGGGACTAACCCCGAACTAGATTAGTTTTGGTCAGTTGTGATTCCCACAGTAAACCAGACCAGGAATAGATCTGATATTTGGTTTGTTTTAACATTCTGGTGTTGTTTCTTTATTGATTCTTTGCAGTGACAACACAGTGGGGGTGCTCTACATGTATCTATGGTGGAATGTTCAGCATGTCCTTGGTGACACAATGTAAAACAGGCTGATGTGTTGTCAGAAAGAGCACGTGTTCAGGAGGCTGTGATCAGGACGAGCTCGTCATCTGAGAGGGACGTGGTTCACAGCACAGACCCACTCACCTGCGGTTCAGAGAAATCAGTTCTTTGTCAAACAGCTCAGATTATAACAAAGCCTCAGACAGAGCAGTGCCTACAGTTAGCATCACTGACATCAACTGCAAAATCTATGACTTAATACTGAATCAAGTTGGAAGTGTTTGTGTCATGACTGCACATAATAATATACACAATAATCCTGTATCTCCATGGAGACCAGAGGCTGCTCCTCCACCTGAAAAGTTCCTGAGTGCATCTTTAAATCCAGGCATATGTGCAGCGCTGGGGTCT